GTTAAATATTAAATTTTGCTAGCATTTCACAAGCGTCTGATATGGATTAGAAAGTAAAATATTAATTTCCTGCGTGACGACTCGCAATGGAAGACTCGAAGCAACTGGAAACCTACAAAAGCAGCCATGGATAACCCTTCAATTACATAATTTCTTTGAGTATAGGCGCACTAGTCGAAGAACGTGACTACGCGTATTTCTGTGGCATTGCGGAGGTTCCACAAGCATTTATAACTATGTGGTACTATTAACTAGCCCAATAAAAATTAATCAAAGTCAAAACAGTAACAGATTGGTTAAGGATGGCGTGAAAACGAGGAGGCCTTAAAACTCAAACTCAATTCATCTATCATATCATGTAATACTCATTAAACTCTACTGCTCATTCGTAAGCGACATTCCCCTGAGAAGAATGAGCAAGAAACTTTAGGGGTTGCTCTTTGTAAATAAACATTTGAATACACTTCAACTGCCTCCGTGGCTGAACGGTTACCATGCCAGACTGCCACGCAGAGGTCCCAGGTTCGATTCCCGGGCCGGGAGAAATGTTTGTATGGCGTACATTTATTTCTCTCGTGAGTTTGGGTGTAATTTGTGGTTGTCTATGTGTGTGTCCATGGCACCCGCGACACAGGGTTTCCCTAGTGCGGGGCTAGGTTGAGTGTGTGCGTTATTTATTTAAAAAAAAATACAACATTTATTTAAAACATCTTAGATCGAGAATACCTGTAAGAGCTAAACAAATCATTACCACCGATTTTTGTCACCTAGGTACGCAACTTTGACAATGTCGTCCACTCATCTCGCTACAGGTCGTCTCACGATTCTATATTCATTTCTTGGCCACCAATCGGTTATCGCTTTACTCCACCTGTGTTCACAACGTCTCGCAATATGATCCATTTTTAATTCGTTATCGGATCATCCTGGACCTTAGTTCGTCTAAGGATTTCGGAATTCGGGACTTGATTAAACTAGTTTATGCCGAGCCCTCCCTCCATGGCCTTTTGTCCCACTCTCATTCTGTACACAGCCTTCTGTGTGAGCGTCCACGTCTCGCCGCCGTAAGTCATAGTGGGCAAAACATATTGGTTAAATAAGCAGTTTTTACAAGAACAGCTACAGTTTATTTTTATTTCTCATATTTATGTCACTATTTTTCATAAATAAATTACTATTCTTCTTAACATAAATTACATTATCATGTAGTGTGTACCTTCAAAACCGGAACGCAGTAGTGGTCACATTACTGTTTGGCGGCTGAAGTAGATAAGTATTTCCCTGGACGAACGCTTTCAAAAGCTCTGCTGTTTCCACGAAGCATATATAATATAACATATTACAAGGACACCTATTGAAATATTTAACGGCTAATGTTTGTTAATTTACGTAACTTCTGAAAATCCACGTTTCAAATATGGTCCGAAGTTGCATTCTTTATACCAGACACGTGTTTGGACTTTATAAGAGGCATCCTTAGGGTTTGTTAATTATTCGATTGTAGCAATTTCTTTTCGACCGAAAAGTATGTAACAAACATACAAGATTATTTATAGATGACAGCTTGACAGTCATAACTTACATGCGACGATAATTCAAATATATTATTTATTACATTTAATTGCAATCTTCCATTATTACTACTTATTACTACTACTGATGACATACCGTAAAATGCATAACAGAGCTACAAAAGGAAACTACAATGGGAAATATATTGCACTGTAAATATAATAGTATATTAACCATTGACTTACAATTATATGGACGTCGGGTCCGCGCTAAAAAGTGTCCGAACTTATAGGGCGTTAAAATCGTATACAAAGCGTCATTCACGCTTTAGTCTTCTTTTGTTCGACTGACAGCGAAGCAAGCAAAATTAGACAGTACTGCGATGACATTACAATTTAAATTCAACGTTTTAGCTTTTTCATATTCCTTTACATGTCACTACGTTTAAATAGGTTGACTTGGGACATTTTTTCGTGGTTTTTGTATTAGACCCGTCGTCCATTTATTTGTAAGTCAATGATATTAACTCATAAAGTGTATTTTTTTTTCAGAATAAACGAAAAACGAATAATTTCCTGCAAAAGATTATTAAAATTTATATACAGGTTAAAGTTTATTACAGACATATAGACAATTTCCTACTTGGCGAAAATATTTAAAAATAAAAGAGAAAGTATATATGTTCTTGAGTAAGGACTGTTTTTTCCAGAAAAGCTCACAAAAATGTTGTCTCGTTTTGATTTAAATATACATTTTTAATTAATTGTTTCCCACAATATTCCAACGACGGTGTGAGACGTGTAGAGAATCATATTTTACTTTTAGCAAAAGTATAATCTTGAATTTCACATATTTTGATTTACAACACTTTTGTAATAGCAGTGCGATGTATTAAAAGGTAATACAAAATACAAAATTATCTAGTTCATACGTAGAGTTTTTAAATAGTCAATTACTGTTATTTTTACTCTCATCTATAAACGCATGACCTGGCAACTTGTAAATAACCTAATAACTCGAGCCAATAGTATATTTATTGTTTTGATCATTTGTTGTTTTGTAGGTTGTCCTAAATAAATAAATAAAATGTACTAGGAAATGAAACTATTTTTCCGGATATAAATCGCGTATACTTGTTTTTTTCAAACAAACCGACGTTTCGACGTGAAAAAACAAATATACGCGGTTTAAATCCGGAAAAATAGTTTCATTTCCTATGTGTAACAATCGCGAAAACTCGAACTCGATAAAATGTGCTAAATACAATTACATGCTTCAGGCCTAAGCACATCCGCAGTTTTTAACCGACTTCAAAAAGGAGGAGGTTCTCAATTCGACTGTATTTTTAACCGACTTCAAAAAAGGAGGAGGTTCTCAATTCGGCTGTATGTTCGTCTTTTTTTTGTATGTATGTTACGCGATAACTCCGGTATTCGTGAACCGGTAGTTGTGCTGTTCACGCATGAAGATTCATTTTCATAAATAGCGCCTAACATTAATTTAGGAGCAATTACTTTAATGATTGATTTTGCTATTTCTCCAATTCAAGGCGTTTTTCTCTCACGATATACTTTGAGTAGTGAGAACCGATTTTTATTATCTCCAGGGTCAAGTCCTGTATAGTGGCGAACTAGGGGATATTTCAATAAAACTTAGTATAGACGCAATTCCACGTAATTTTGAGGTCGGTTTTTTTAGTACTCTGTACTGAGATTATTTTGTGTGTGTGTTATGCGGTTACCCCGTGATTTGTGAACCGATTTTGATGATTCGTTTTTTGTTGGAAAGAGGGAATCTCAGTATTAATATATGTATATAAATTTATATAAGGGTATATAAATTTGAAAAGAATATTCCACCTTAGAGGTGCAAAGGTGCGGTGCGGTGGCAAACTAGGAGATAAATACGATTCGCGCACTTCACAACCGTTTTCAATAAAATTTGGCAAATAGATGTAATTCCACGAAGTATGAGACCGATTTAAAAAAAAATTATTCTTTAAAAAGATTCCCTATTTAAATCGTGAGTGAATTTACGCCGCGAGAAGTTAAAAATAATACGTACAAACTTATACACACAACTTCACGCCCTTTCCCGCTAGGTTAGACAGACACCACAGCCTTCCACTTGCTACGATCCTGACACACTTTTACATAAAGCAATATAACTTGGCGTTTAGTATACACTCCCCTTCCCAGACCTTATGATCTGTGGTGACGACTAAAAAATCACCAACGCTGAGTCTTCGTTCTTTATGTCCACATTACTTTATTGTGTAATTATTCGCTTATATTATGGTTTATGTGTTTTGTGGACAAATCAAGTCAAAATTCATTTATTTCAGACAGATACAGGTACAGTCCATATTCTTATAATAGTTACAAAACTATCTACGGAGTCCTATCAGGGTCTACCAATATTCAAAAACAAAAAAAAACAAAGACAAGTCCTCAAATTGAAGGCGAATGTGAATGCAATGCTTAGAGGATGGAAATAGTCTAAGATGCAATGAAGCATGATCGGGCAATCAACTCTACCAGCCAGAACGCGACGAACGTCATTTGAGCTGCCACGGGTACGACTTACCAAAATAATGCCTTTAGCCATTGACTTACAAATAAATGGACGACGGGTCTAATACAAAAACCACGAAAAAATGTCCCAAGTCAAACTATTTAAACGTAGTGACATGTCAAGGAATATGAAAAGGCTAAAACGTTGAATTTAAATTGTAATGTCATCGCAGTACTGTCTAATTTTGCTTGCTTCGCTGTCAGTCGAACAAACGAAGACTAGAGCGTGAATGAAACTCTGTATACGATTTTAACGCCCTATAAGTTCGGACACTTTTTAGCGCGGACCCGACGTCCATATAATTGTAAGTCAATGCCTTTAGCAATGCCTTTTTGTTTATTTTTATTGTTTATTACAACCACTGGCCCACGGAGGTCACCAAAATATCGATGCGCGATTGTGGAAATTTGAAACGTCGTAAGGAATATTTTGTCTTAATGGAAAATGTCCCTTACTACAAAATGTCGCTACAAAATGAAATTATTACCGTGTATCGACGGCAGAAATTTGAAATGTCCGTAAAGGGCAAAATGTCCCCTAAAACATTTCCATTTCCACTATGTATTTAGTGTTAATTTTGTTGTAAATAGAGGACGTTTGAATTATTAACATATCATATGAAAATTGTTCAAGGGTGGTCTTGATTTGTATTTTTGGGCTCTCCTGTAAAATTTTGCCTAAAGGGCTTACTAGGTTTTGTTATGGGGCAGCTGTATTGTTCAAAGACTTTGGAATTTCATTAGGTCTCTTTACAGTAGGTATGCTCTCAAATTTTTGAGACCCAAAACTCTACGAAGTTCCTGTCTTTGATTTGGTAAAAAATACGATTTATGGCGAATGACGTTGTCTTACGAAAACATTTCAAAAAGTAAAGTGAGTGTTTTAATTTTCACTTTGTTTATCAGAAACAATTAGAAATAAACGAGCCAATGGATCACAGTTGTGGACAACAGTCGTATAAACCCTAATAATGGTTCCCGCCATCCCAAATCCTTCACCACCATGTGGCCGTCAATACAATTACGTAACGTAGTCACCGTTCTACACGATACTCCCGAGATCTGGTCTGAGCTGCTAATCAGAGGTGTCCTCCTCATTCTAGTGTGCCTTATGCACGTCAACGTTCCTCCCTACATGTACCGCCTTACTTCTGTTGATTTTGATAATTACAGGCGCCCACGAAGAGACTCAATCGTGCCTCTATGGATCATGATAGCTATAGTTATCGTAGTCCCTCTAATGTTCTTTACTTACTCTGCGGTAGTCTCCAGAAATTATGTAGATTGCACCCAGTGTTTTCTCGCATGGACCCTCGCTCTATCAATAAACGCCTTCATCACAGAAATAATAAAACTCGCAATCGGACGACCGCGGCCTGATTTCTTCTACCGCTGTTTCCCAGATGGTAAAATGACCGAGAAATTGACCTGTGCTAAAGTGACTAAAGATGTTATCGACGGCAGGAAGTCGTTTCCTAGCGGACATAGTAGTTTTTCGTTTTGTTCGATGGGGTTCCTAAGTTTGTGGCTATACGGGCGGCTGGGAGCACTGAAAAGTGGGCATGAGCGGGTGCTGGCGGTGCTGGCGTGTAGCGTGCCCCTGATGTTGGCGGCGATGGTGTCCATCAGCAGGTGCTTCGACAATCACCACCATTGGGAAGACGTTGCTGCTGGCTCCCTGATTGGTTTCGTCTCCTCCTATACGTGTTACGCTCTATATTACTACCCTCTGCGTTCGGACTTATCTGGATACCCCTGCATTGTCCATGAGGAGGACATTACCCAAGAAACTCGCAATTCGTCGACTAGACAAGACTCTGTGGAATATGAAAACGGAAGAATCCAAATCAAAGAAATAAAAGCATAAACTTTATACTAGCGACATTTTTTGTTTATTAAAATATTTATTACGAAAGATGTTCCTGTGATATTTTTTTCTTTGCAAGTGACGCCTGGTATTAAGCAACGCGCCTGTTCATAACAGTTGCAGTTCCACTCAAGAGCTTTAAATCGCGAAGATTTGAGATTTGACAAGTCCCACGTGCCTGTAATTTCACCAACACCCTTACCCTTTAAAACTGGAATGCAGTAGCGGTCACGTTACCGCTTGGCGGTAGAAATAGGTAAGGTTGCCACCTACTACTACCCTGGATGAACTGTTTCACAAGGAGCTCTATTGCTAGTAAATGTTTTCGATATGCTACGATACTGACGAACACATTTGCTTTTAAGGTATAATTAAAGGGTATCTTGCGGTCTTCTTCGTTTCCGCTTGTGATGTCACCGGCGTGTCGCTTTTGATCGGTCTTCTATCAACCGTGCGGCACCCTGTTTTTTCCTTTTGGACTTTTTACATATTTGTAGGTCAATGACAGTGTTTTCCGTTGGCTAGATTGATGGTAGGACTAGTCTGGCAAATTGGATTTTTTCCATTGTCCAGATCAGCTAGCGATTTATTAAAGTATTGTTGATGATATCACAAAAAAAAATTATAAAAATTTTTCACAGATCTGACGAAATTTTTAAAAAGCCACCTAAAGCCACCTGTAACAAGCAAAAAGAAAAAGAAGAATTTTACACATTTTCTTAAGACTCATTTAATTTTTTTTATTATTTTATTTTACAATTTTAGGGAAACTAACAGCTAGGTATATAACTAGTTACAGATATAAATATACATGACCAATTATAAGTTTCCACAGATAAGTGAACAGTTCAATTTTACGTTAAAACTGTACACAAACACTGAGAACAAGAAAGAAGGAAAAGAATCCCTTACAACAGGGCTTCCATATTTGAGAGGCGTATTCTAAATGACATAGGCACAGTAAAGCATTTTAAAGATTTTTATACAGTTGCATTCCTGTGACATACGTATTATAAAACCGAGCGCTTTAGATGCTCTATTAACCATTTCATTACTATGTACGTGAAAAAGTAATTTATTATACCGAGGTCTCGTATGATACTTACTCTAGTGATGTTAATAAAACATGAAGGGGCCCAGCAACGAGCCTTGAGGAATGCCGGAAGGTATTGGCATAGAGGAGGAGATGTAGCCATTCAATACAACAGTCTGGCATCTCTCTTTCACAGGAGAAGAGAACCATCTAAACAGGTTTCCCTTTATACCAATATTTTGAAGTTTACGCAGACGTACAGTCTGATCAATACGATCAAAGCATTTGCTGTAATCGGTATAGTTTACATCCACTTGAGATGGTTCGGACATGTGTTTAGCCAGAAAGTCGCTATACAAAATAAGGTTAGATGTAGTTGATCTGCTCCTCACGAAACCATGCTGCTCTGGACACAGTGCATGCTTAATAGACGCGTAAACCTGATTGTACACCATCTTCTCCAAAATTTTAGCAAATAAACATAATTTTGAAATGGGTCTGTAATTATCTACTACGTCCTTTGGACCTTTCTTATGTATGGGCATAATGTACGCGGATTTCCAGATTTTGGGTACAATACCTTCAGTTAGTGATCGACTAAATAGTCTACAAAGAGGGATGGAAAGAGATTTAGAGCATCTAGAAATAAATATGGCGGGGATGTTATCTGGGCCGGCAGACTTGTTCAAGTCAAGAGACTTCAACAGCCTATATACTTCTAATGCGTTTGACTTCTATGTAGCCTATTTCACACAAGAAGTTTACAGTGTCACTAGGTGCGCAGTTAGTTTGAGCGCTATGCGAGAAAGTTGAATGAAAGTAATCACTGAACATATTACCTACGACTTCTCCGTTACCAGATGTGCGCTGCGCATGTTGAAGTATATGTATTATTATTAATTTTTTAATTTCACATAGGACCAGAACGCTTCGGGATTAGTAGTGTTATTTTCCTCAACATTCGCGATGTAGTTTTCAGCCATTGCTTTTTCTAGAATCTTTGCACAAAGGATTGAAAGTCATGCCGGTTACCGTATTTATTATACTTCGAATGATATTTATCTTTTCTTTTAACTTTTATAAGAGGTCTCCCAAACCATGGGGGACAGTTAGACGACGAAGTAACTAATTTAGAAGGTACACATTTAGTACCTTCTAAATTAGTTACAGGTCATTAGGCACAGGTCTTTCAGCACACCATAGAAATAAGAGACAGCATCATTCAGTGATCCGCGATTCTATTCGATATTCCAGTGAAACGCATTGAGTTTAGAATTGATAGAATCATAATCCCCGGACTTGTAAAAATATTTTGTATAGGGCCGCGACTTATGAGGATGGAGTTGTACAAAGTTCGTGGAAACACATAAAGCAGAATGATATGGATCCTCTGGGACTAAAGGATTTGAACAACGAATTACTGAGACTTCACTATTAGAAAATACCAAATCTAAAATTTTACTTTTACTATTAGACGTATAAAATTGTATTGCGATAAATTACTTAAATTGATCAAATTAAAGAAATGTATCTGAACAGAACCCCTAATACCCCGTCTCGTCAGACACCCACGACAAGTTGGGCATATTAAAGTCTCCAATAATTACAAACTTATCGCAAGGATTATTTAGAACAACATCAGAAATACGTGTACTAGGTTTTGTTTCCCTATTCCACATTGGACACAAGTCACACCTTTTTTATCGCTGGGAAATGCGTTACGCATACCGCTAGGCTCGGGGGAGCATGGATCGGTTATGTGGGGCTCCCGGGATTACCCGTACTATTGGGACGTCCCGGCGGATGGCTCGCATGGAGCGGGTGCTTTGGAGCATGCCCCGGGTACCCTTAGGCTTGGTGGAAGGGGTCCCCCGAACCCAGTCTACGGCGGTGGAAGAAGGTACTACCTCCTTGGTCTCCCCAGCCTACGTCTACGAAGCGGGTCAGAGACGGGAGTCGTCCTCTCTGAAGCGCTTAACTACCTCATGCGATGTTAACTAATGGTTAGTATACTTAAAATAGAAGCCCGTTGCTAATTATATTTTGCTTCTTTATTATTTTGGGTAATAAAGATCACGCAATCACCATAATGTAGGACAACAAAATATTTTCATCCATGCGTGTTAAACACGCATGTCACCTCGGATGCCCTCGACACAGAAAGAAACCGCTGTGGTTTTAGAGGTAGCTTTAATGTAACTTGGAACTAAAATAATTTAAATTGGTCACTTTTCATTCTCAAAGCGCATTTATTTAAAATAAAAAAACTCCAATATATGAAGTATTGCTATAATGATATTCAATTATTTTTATGTGTAATTACTCCACTAGTTTGTTATTATTGTTAATACAAATAACGAACACTGAGAAAAATTCATTTGATCGATTCAAACCAGCGTCTTCAGCATATCAGGCCGACGCTGTCCCAACTACGCTACAAAACGAACGAGCTGCGCAACGAATTTTTCTGTGCTTGTTGTGTGCCTTATTACAGCGTGACCATGGTCGAGTTTTTGATATTTGACTAGCCAGAAAAAGTCGCTATTTAATCAGTTCTAGTTGCAAAAAAAAGTTTTAATCGGTCGGCCTTTCAAAAGTTATAGGGTGTTTTTTTTTTTTTTTTTTTATACCTGACAGGCAAATGACTCCACTCCACCTGATGTTAAGTGGAAAGTGGTATCCAAACGCGAAGGAACCTAGTGCAGCGATGGAATCCTCACTGCACTAGCCGCCTCCACCCTGCCTGCCTACAATATGCCTCTTCACGCCTCGTTTGAAGGACCCCATATCATAAGAGGGAGGGAAGACATGTGCCGGAAGGGAGTTCCATTTGTCAACCGTGCGGCAGAGAAAGGAGCCACCGAACCTTTTAGTACGCGATGGAATGCGGCAGGTAGTGAAACGGTGACTACGAAGGCCAGCACGCGTGCTTCTGAGCAGGAACGGGGAAGGGGGGAAGAGGTTGAACAGCTCCTCAGAGAGTTTTACTGGCCACCCTGGAATAAGCTTATTCCAGCGGCATCATTTCTCAATCTCGAGAACCACAACACCTAGCTTAGATCTAATTACACCAAAAAAGTCGTGATTTAGTCGGTTCTAGTCGTAAAAAACTAGATTTAGTCTGTCCACCGTTCAAAAGTTGTAATGGTATTTTACTGTCCACGCTGAAATAAGCTTATTCCAGCAGATTTCCCAATCTCTAGATCCACAACACCTAGCTCAGATCTGATTACACTAAAAAAAGTTGTGATTTAGTCGGTTCTAGTCGTAAAAAACTATATTTAGTTGGTACACCGTTTTGAAGTTGTTAAGGTGTTTTACTGTACACGCTAGAATGAACTTATTCCGGCGGCACCATTTTTGAACCCTGAGAACCAGAGCTCCTGGCTTACATCTGATTGCACCCAGAAAAAGTCGTGAATTAGTCGCTCAATACCGAATTTTAGCTGTCAGTCAAATTTTAAAAACTCGACCATGGTTACGCTGGAATAAAGCCGGGTACTCACTAGCTAGCTGTAACTGTAACAGTTGCATGTTAAGTAACCAAAAACCATAGTGTTTACGTGGTTCGCGAGCTTGTCGCGAGCGGAACGTGTGCGGTTCGTAGTGAGCCGTCTGATTGAAGACTGCTTCAAGCGTACACACTAGAACCTCATTACTGTATCTGTCCCGTTACGTTAAAAAAATATACATACCCGGCTTAAGGCATGTGCATTTTTTCGCCTGTTCCGTTTTTATTTTGTTTTTTGTTTGTTTACTTTTCCACAAAATTGGTTTTTATTTCGAATTTTGTTTTTTATTTCACAAAATTCGGGGAGCATAATATTAGTAAATAAATATGGCTTGTTTACAAAAATTTTCTTGCTCTTAAAGTTCATGTTTGTGCTGGGTGTAAGGCTGCATAAAATAGGGTTTTATGCCCTAGTGCATAAAATAAAAAACCGTCACATTAAATATGTCTAATTGTTGTAATTTTACATT